TAGTAGAGAGAGAGAGAGAGAGAGAGAGAGAGGAATATTTATCTTTTCTTATTGCAATTTCGCATTTTTTCTTTCTCTCTCTATCTCTTTTCTTTCTTGTTTTCTTATTTTCTACATTAGCAGACAAGAAGCCGTACGCGTCGCAACGCGTCGCTCGTAAGTGAAATTACTTATACATGTACGTGTGTGTGTGTGATGTTCTGTGTATGTTATATATATATATATGTATATACACAATTATTTATATATACATATATATATATATTTATTTATTTATTTATTAATTTATTTATTTATATATTTTATATTCGTATTTATTTATTTATTTATTTATTTATATATTAGTCTTTTGAAATGATTTCTCGTACGTGCAAAAAATAAATCTCTCGACGCGATCGTTGCGCCGCGAGTGAATTTTTTTTCTTTTCTTCTTTTAACACGTTTCTCTTTTTTCTCTCTCTAGTTTCTCTTCATTTCCCTTTCTTTCTTTTCTTTCCTACCACATACGTATTTCGCAAAAAAGTTATAGAAACATCAAGAGACGCTTTTAGCGACTCGTATGTAGAATCGATTGGCTACAATCGCAACGTCATTGAGAAGACGTTGGATCAAAGTTTTGAGATTTAAAAGTGTCGGCATGAGAAACGATTCATGGTCGAGAACGTGAGAATTGTTTGCCATTCAAAAATTGAAGAGGGCAAAAATGGATAACTGATGAATGGTTGGAATCTTTCTCTCTCGTACTTTCTTTCCCCTTTGCAAAACTGTGCCTACTTGTTTATATTAGATATTTTTTTCTCTTTTCAAAGCACTAAACGAACTAGAAAAATTTTATCTTTATTGCGCGGAAAATGTAAAAATAGCGTTGCTGTAATACATCGATCGAAGAGTCTCTTCTTCAGATTTTCATTTTTGCTCATTAAATCGGGAAGCTGCATTCCACGAAACTTTTAATACTTAATATTTTCTTCTAGTGGAACATTAGTTGCATTACTTTATATTCGATTAAGGCGGAATCAACATTAGGGTTATTTTTGCGTATAAGGCATATCCGGTTCTTTCTCGTTTGCAATAAAATATCGATTGCCTCAAGCGAACAAGAAAGACTTCGTTTCCGATTATGATCACTTCATTGTTTATATTATTGTTTATATTATTTCAGAAAAATATATATGTATATTGGAGAGGAGAAAAAAATATAAAAAAGTGAATGCATTCTTATCGCGAGAAATGTTTCATTATAAATTTCAAATAAAATTCGATTTAAAGATAATTATTAGTTTATAATTTCGAAACGGTGGACAACGGAACAACAACTCGGAAACGAGCGAATAATTTACGCATCCTAATTAATTGAATACTTAGCACTTACATTTTTGTAACAAACGTCGTATAACGATGCAATTAATTAATATAAACGCAACCATTCCAACGAAGGAAGGAAACAAATTTATAATTCAAAAATCCAGAGAAATTGATTAAAAATTGATTGAAATTGAAAAATAAAACAGCGAAGAAACTTGTTGGTAAGTTGGCAGTTACAAGGAATCTGATTAATTGATTTTTATATATATTTATAAGAATAAACATATATTGGCTGAAATATTGGAATATTTGATTGTAGATAAAATTTATACATATAAACATATAATATTTTCAATTTTTTAAATTTGTGTGATTTTTTTTTATTATTAAAAACTTAAAAAGCTCAAAAAATAAAATATTTTTGTTTTCTATGAGAAGTTGTATCTATAAGATATATTTATATTACTGAAAAATAATTAATTTGAATTCAATACTTTGATTTTTCTTTTAAATAATCTAATAATTAAAATTAATCTTAAGTTTGCTTGTATTATTGTATTGTATCGGGATAAAATAGTTGCCAATAATTAGACTAGCAATTAGACTAGCAATTTCATCAAGGAAATAATGATTCGTTGTGTAGAAGTAAAATGCGTCAATACTAATCAAGGCTTGATCAAGTTGTTAGTGTTGCATCATTATCTTATTAATTTTCTCTAAAACGAAGAATTATTCTTCTTCTCTTATGCTGTTAATTAGCAACCATTTTGTGTGTATCTAACCAACTTTAAGTGTGCATCTAAGATACAGATATTCAGTAAGTAAGAGTAAATGACATACATTTATTGCTCTTTCAAACTCATTAAATTTTTCTTTTTATTTTCATCATCGTTTGAAGTTATTTTATTTCATTTTCACGAAAATTTCTATTAATAGGAAAAATATTATATTTTCAATACATTGGAAAATAGAAACAAAATAGATAGATTTATTTTACTAAAAAAAAAAAATCTGAAAATAATATCAAGAAACACAATACTTATACTTGCAAATATTCTATGAACAAAAAAGAAAAGGACTTCCATTTTAGCTGCTAACTTATCAGCAACATATATTAAAACTTCCTTCGCATAATATAAAATAGTGCATAATCAATGTTTATTCAACTTCTCAGGTTTTTTCTTAAACGGAATGATAAAAACGAGATCGCTAATTAGCGATGCACAACAAGTATAATACGTACCGATAAATCATTCTTACATGATCCGATGTAAGTATACCGGTACAAACGTCACTATTGCACTTCACTTTCAGATTAAAAAAACCGTATTATGATTCCCGCGACAAAACGATCATTACACACATTCACTGTGCGATCACTGCAATGAAATAATCAGAACAATTCGCGTGGCAGCACAAACTTCTCTCCGCCTTTTTTTTACCAGTTGAATTGCATTTTGTGCTTCCTCAATGAATTTCCTCCGATCTGGACTTTGCTCTTTCTTTAAATGAATATTCTCGTTCGTAGGAACGTTTATCACTGGTTCTCTCTTTTAAAATTCTCTCTCGGTCGCTTTGATTGACGTTCGTTGATTCGCGACAAAAAAAAAGTCAAAGTATTTTTATGACTTTTTTGAAATGATATCTTTTCAAACTCCTGTGCCATCGCATTAAGTGTTTTTTCTTTATTGTTATTCGGATCGATAGCTTAATGCCTCATTGAAGTTTATCCTCAGTCGAGGCATCATTTCAAGGTTCGTTGCTGGTTAGTTCCTCGGATCATTTCTCGATCGGATGAGGGATTCACCAGAATCTCTGGGCGCTGTCCCACAAGTTCTTCAGACTTGATCGAAACTCGAAACGGAAATTCTGATAGTATCACGCTATGTTGTTGCCGCTCATCGTGGTTACGCATTTTTTCTCCGGCGTGTTTTGACTCTCTGAATTGCTGCGCACCGCTTTTGTCGGACTTCCCGGTGTAGGCGTTGTATCACCCGGCAACGGATTGTTATTATTCGTCGAGGTCGAACTTCTGCGGCCATTTTCACGGGTCGGTGATTTTACGTCGAATACGGATGTATCCGACTCGATGTCCGAGTCGATCTGGAAATAATATGAAATAACGAGAATTAAATATCGAAAAATAATAATCAGGAACGAAGCATAGAGGCATAATTTTTTTTTTTACTATTCATGAATTCTAATAGCGAGTAAAAATTGCCTTCGATAGTGATATTTAAGCTGTTAAAATTTGAACGAATTTTTTAAGTGCTGCGAAGTACGTAAGAAACATTATTCTTATTGATTTTATAAATTTTTATAATTTATAATATAATATAATATTTGTTTTTGACAAATATTTTTGTAAAAAATAATTTTGAATAATTATTAAAATTTGGATTTGGAATAAATGAAAAAATATTATTAATATAATATTTGTACTATTGTAAACGTTGTTTTTTATAAATTTAAAAATCCTTACGGCATCTTAAAATTTAATTTTATCTATTAAGAAATCTTTTGTTTATTAAATTTGAAAGATTAAGAAATGATAGAAATAATTTTTTTTCTATACGTTTTCTATATGATATTAAAATAATTATTTTTTTTATTTATAATTTTGATTTTTTTCGTTCTAGATATATATTTTAATAGATAATAAAAAGCTGTTGATTTGATGATGCTTTAATATTTTTATTACTGCGGAAAATTAGCTATAGCTACGTGTAATTGGCTTTATAACTAGAGAATAAATGAAACTGTTAATAACTTTAATGAATAAAAATTATTTATTGAATTTTTAACTTTTAAATCATTTCTTTTTTGTTTCTAGTAAATTTGAGTTCAATTTTTAAATAATTTTTAAATTTGGAAGTTTATAAGGTTTCAAAAATTTCGAAATTTAAAATTCTTAAAACTTAACGTTATTTTTTTTTTTCTTTTCTTTCTTTTTTTCTCTTTCTTTATATATATATATGAATAAAAATATTATTTGTCAAGAAATAAAATTTTAATAAATATATTTCTGAAATATTTTAATTTTCAAAGAAATAAATTTTTTTTTTATATAAAAATGCAATAAAAGTTTCAATATTTTTTGAAACAAAAAAATAATTGGAAAATTATTGTTTTATTTATAATTGAAAATTTTAACAGTTTCATTTGATTTCTATATATAATTATTGAAATAAAATACGTGAATAAATATAAAAAAATTCATTTAATGCGTAATGGCTTTTTCGTTATTAATTAACTATCAAGCTAGCGTTTAATCATTTACTATAAACTGGGGGAATACCGTTGGTAACGTTGGTAACATTGGATAACATTGATGTAGATTCTAATTATATTGGCATTTTAAAATATTTATATTCAATTAATTATAAATTAACGAATAGATTTTAATTAAAATATAAATAATTAAATAAGATGTAAGTAAAGAAAAGCTTAAATCACAATTATTATTTTGTGTTCTAATAATAAACATAAATTAATTAATTTGAAAATAAATTAATTATTCAAATAAATAAATATGAATCGAAACAAAATATATTAAAAATAAAAAAAAATTTTAAATATTAATTGATTCTAGTTTATATTGTTAGTGTTATTTATATTATAGTATTAATTACGGCATAATATTGACAGGTAATTAATATATATTAACAAAGAAGAATATAATAATCTTTACATTTATAGTAAAATGATAAAGAATTAACAATGTTTAAATTATTTAATTAAATAATATAATTATTTAATTAAATAATAAATTTAAATTAACTTAATATTTTAATTTAAAAAAATATTTTATAATTTTATATTATACAAGTAATAAAAGAATTTATGGCTTTTACAATAAATAATTCTCATTAAATAAAAAAGAACCCTAATAAATATAGTTAGAAAAATAATTGTCTTTAAAGATATAAGCAATTTTTTGTTTTCATTGTACTATTGTGCGTATAAGATGCATATGAAGTGTATCAGAAATTAAAGGATATATAAAAAGCTTGTAATCAGAAAATTTAATAGAAGAATTAATATTTTCAAAATTTTAAACGAAGTCCTATTTATTACTTTGAAAATATTAATTTTTGATCCATATTTACCAAGACCTTTTTTTTCATTTGACGAATCTTATTAAAATATATTAGATATATTATATTAATCTCTATATTAAAACTTATGAATTTTTTTTATCATCCTATAAAGTCTATCAAACTTTCTATCAGTGTCCTCTCAGTTTATAGTATCTACTTGCATTTGCTTTTCAGTGCATAACGCGAACAGTCATTAATATCTATGCGTGACATATACTAAGAACTATTAATATATTGTGAAACATATGTGGTAATTTGTGGTAATTTGTGGCAATTTGTGGCAATTTGTCAAGATTGAGACAATTTTTAAAAGATAAACGATTTTCACCTTTGGTAACTGGTTTCCATGAAGAACGATAACGTTTCCAAATATAATAATTATGTAATAATTATCGCGATAATGGTATGTAGGAGAAGGAGGAGGAAGATGATGCACTACCTTGTTGAAACAGACTACCTGTCTGGTAGCTGGATGCGGGCTGAGAAATAACCGTTCGCTAGTGTCGCTTCCACAGCTGGAACTTTCACTCATCTCCGTGGTAAATTTTCGTGATGCTCGTGGACTAGGTGGCGCTGCTCGACTCTGTCCTCCCAAATTGATTCCTACATTCCTTGAGCAGACTTGTGCCTGAATGTGTTCGCAAACCCTTCGAAATCTTCGAATGTTTCCTGAAAAATCAATCGAACATAATTGATAATTATTTATTATTGAAATTGGAATATATAATTAAAAAAAGAGTTAAAGATTGTATGATGTTTTTTAATTGTTATTTTAAAATCACTTTTTATTTAAAAAAATTATTAATGTATTTATAATTAAATTATTTATTAATTATTTAATGAATATGATTATTCTTTTAGTATATAACATTAAATGCTTGTTATTACTGTTTTCTAAATACTTGTAAAAGCACTTCAAATTTAATTTTTTTAAAAATCAAGTTTCATGTGAATATTTTTGATTTATTTTTAAGTCAAGAATATTCTTATTAATTACATTTTCTATTAAATCATTTCCTATTAAAATTACAATTTTTTAAGTTAAATTAAATAAGATAAAATTAGTTCTAAAAGTATTCGTCTTTCTGAATATTTAATACTAAATTTTTAATTATCATTGAAGAACAAAATAATAAATATATATACAGTGTATGTATTTTATTTAAAATATAGTAAAATATCTTTAAAAATATAATTACAAAATTTATTTGATATAAAAAGATACTTTATGCATTAAAATAATAGCTTTTTACCATTTTAGTATACAGAAAAGTAAATTGTTGATAAATAACATAAAATTTATCAATTTATTTAATAATATTTTGTAAATCCACTATTTCAATAACACTATTTCAATATTCCAATATTACGTTTTATATGTCTATGCTATTTTGTACATATGTTATTGCATATATGTATATAAAAAATTAATACATATATTGTTTTTTTTTATTAGTTGTTTTTCTTTACTAGTACACAGTTATATTATTATAAATTATATATTAGAATATATTTAATATAATTGGATATTTTTTTTAGCCAACTGTAATATACTTTCTTTTTTAATTGTAGGTGTACAATGTAAATCAATCATGAAAAAAAAGCATAAAGAAAATAAATAACATTGGAATTATACATTATACACGGTTCTCGTAGATACAGGCAGAATGTAAAATAATACTTGCCAAGGTAACATCGATCTAGTTGCGCTTGGACGATTGCCAAACTCGAAACATTGCTACCTTACTAATCTACCATTTTTCGCGGTTTATATTCAAAAATACAATATATCCTTTTTGTTCTCTTTTGACATTTATAAATAAACATTAAACAAATTAAAAGAATAAGAGAAAAGAGTGAAAAAAAAATTTTATATCTGAAAGTTATTTTTCAAATTTTTTTTTTTCTTAATTTCAATTATACATATAAGATGTTAATATATTCGTGATATATATTTGAAATTACAGAAAGCAAAATAAGTACAAAAAGTTGATAGAAAACATTGAAATTTATTTATTAAGTAATTTTTTAAGTTTGTGTTAGATAGAATGAGATGGGATCATATTATCATCTTACTGTCTTCCTTCATTTAATGCAAATTTAAATTCTTTATAATTGTTTAATAAAAAAGAAAAAATAAAAATCAAACAATTTTCTATAGATATCAATTTGTTTGTAAGTGCAATTGCATATTTTCAAAGTAAGACATTAATCACATCTTGTGAAGTTGTTCTACTTACTAATCAAATATAGGATTAAATATTTAAAAAAATACTAAAAAATATTAAAATTATAAACTAATTTTAAAACAAAAATAATATTAAAGTTAAAGCTTGTTTAATAAAATAACATTTTTCAATATATATAATTCATAAAGCTATATTATTATATATATTTTATATTGTTGTATTTTTATAAATATTTTTATGATACTATGATTTTAAGTTAGAGATATAAATTATAAATATCAGAAATTAAAAGATATAATTATATTTTTATTATAATTATATAAAATACTTTTTATCATGTCTATTAAATGTTCAAATATATTAATATAGAATAATTAATATAGAATAATTCAAAGCATTATTATAATAAAATAAAATTTTAAATAAGATCATATTTAAATTATATAATAAAAATTTATTATAGTATAAATAATTTTAAAATCCAATAATGTATGATCTGTAGTTTTTTTCTGAACTACTGATAAATACTGAAAAAAGAAATATAAGTTATTCTGATTTTCAGATATAGAGTTATTGCGACAATATTTAATGAAGTGAAAATTCACTTACCGCTTAAGAGAGTAAAAGTAATGGCAAACAATGGTTCACTTGGCTGTTTCGATATGGCGCTGATGTCTACTTGAAAACGGACTTGCCTTTGAAACATGGCAGGCGCTGTACTACCCCTTTTATATTCCACTTTGAAGGACATGGGTGAGCTTACACTGTGAGACAACTCTGCTATCTGTTGATCAAAACTTGCTTGCTTTTTATATGAACCTGAGAAATTTCAAACGTACATTATTGATCAAAAATTTGATATCTTTACTTTTTCTTACTTTTGATGTTGTTATTGACACATTGTAAACTGCACATTATGAAAATATAATAGTAAGAAAAATATAATAAATATAATAATATAATTAATAATATATATCTAAAAAAAAAAAACTACAAAAATTTACTAACGTGACGTTTAATAAAATAAAAAATTTAAATTAATAGTCTATAAAAATATAATACTAATATTTTAAAATTATGAATTATTTCAATATTTTTTTTATTCTAATATATTATTTAAATATTATTTTTTTATTCTATAAATAATGTGATAAAAATAATTTCAATTCATGTGATATGTAAATAAATTATTTTATAATAAATAAATAATAATCTTCTTAATTTATTCAAATAAAATAACAAATATATTGATATAAAAGATTGTAATGAGATTATCTGTTATTACATATCAATGAATTAATTTTCATTTTGACCATAGTAAATTATTAAATTCCAAGTTCATAAATTTGCTTGAAATGTAATCACATTTGCTGTCAGAATTGTTTTCGCTTTAAACAATTTGTCAGAAAGATATTATGGTAAATGTATCATTATAATAATTATAATAATTATAATAATTATAATACAATATAATAAAGAATTTCTTAATGATTCCAAACTTTTGATCGATAATGTATAAATGAGGAATATTAAGTAAAAAAGAAGCTTACCGATAAAAAAGCATGTATCAAGTCGGCTTTGACGCTTGCTAACACCTTTCCTTTTACGAGAATGGTGAATGTTTCATCTTTCTCCGTGGTCATTAGACTACCAAACCATGATTTTTTTGTAAGTTCTGGAGAGGAATCCGGAGTGAGATGTACCTGTATAAATCAAAGAAATATATTTTATTCGTAATGATATTTCTGAAATATGTACAATCCATAAGTATCCATAAGTCACTTTTTAATTTTAAACATTTTATGGTTGACATTAATTTGTGAATTTATTTCTTAATATCGCAGTTACAAAAATTTGTAAACTATATTTAAATTAAAACTATATTTCATTTTCAAAATCAAAGATCAGAAAAATTATTTCCATATCCAAATTGAAGTTGCTATTAATTCATATATGATGATAATAGATTTCGTTCTAATTATTTGTTCAAATTATATTTTCAAAACATATTTTGTAAAGTTATGTCTATTATTTTTTATTCATTTTTTAATTATTATATTTAATATTTCTTCAAGAATAATAACAAAGTTCTTTGTTATAAAATATATATATATATATATATATATTTAAAAAGTATTATTCTTTAATATAATAATTGAATGAGTTAAATTTCTAATATTTATTATATATCAATGGAAAGTATGAAGAAAGTTATGGATGGAATATGTGTTTATCTATCAATAGCTTGAATCTATAAATAGCATGATACGTATATGTATAATGATATGAATATCATTACACCATGTACATTTAATCTCACTTCCTTTAAATAATCTTAAAAGTAATAGTAAATTATATTTAGTTATAAATAATATTATAACATAAATATTATTTAAGAAAATATTTATAATATTACAATTATTTGAAAAAAAATTTGTTTTATAATATAATATATCTCATTCATAGTAAATATCTTTATTTAATTCAATCAATTAACGAATGAGATAAAATATGCTTTAAAGTAAAAAATAAAACAAGTAAATATAGAAAAGAACTTATATTGCACTATTATAGTGAAATAATTGATCTTTTAATATTACAAATTAAAATTAGAATGATCGTACTATCTTATTATTCTATCTCAAACAAAAGTAACTCATTTATATTATCTGATCCGTATCTTGATATAACGTTATATAAAATTATTTACATTTTCCAATAATATTTGCATTATTATTGTTAATGTATTAAAATAAATTTATGTTATTATCAAAATATATTATTTCCTTATAATACGGTTAATTAATTCCAACATCATATTTCATAATTATATTTTCATTTCTTCATATTCTGAAATATATTCCCACGTATTAGATGACTTATGGACGAAAGTAATTCATAAATATATTTGTTTAATCAAATAAAAAAGTACCTCCTCGGCACTTGTGAGCAATTTGCGCCGATGAAATCGAGGACTACCAAGGAAGGAGTTCTTGATAGTGTTGAGCCTTGATCGCCAATGATGGGCACCTGAACCGGCGCCAGTGTGGGGAGAGCCTGGCGGTGTAACACCGACCGCAACTACTGCGAAACGGACTATTCTTTATCTGTGTCACTTTTTATTCTTTTCACTAAGAATCAGAGATAACGTGATAATTTCTTTTCAATATCAAACGAAAAAAATTATCACGTTAAAATGAGCTTTTAAATAAGATTTTTTAAAGATTTTAAATAAAGATAGTATATTATTATATTATGAACCGTGATGATCTGTTAAAGTAAAAAGGATGAGAAGCATTCTAAGCATAAAAGCTCGGTTTTTTGATTTCTTATAAGATTTTTGAAGTAGATAAATAAATATTTTTATGTCTTCGAGAATTTTTATTTTTTTAAAATAATATTTCAAATATCATATAAATATTATTTTGAAATGAATATAAGAAAATGGTAATTTCAATAATATTATTGTTTCTTGTATATTTTGTATATAATATAATATATCGGGTATTTCATGTAATTCCAACATCTGGAATAATTCACATGTTTTCGGAAATATTAAAAAATGTTTCAGACGGAAGAATCGTTTCGAGGACGATAACTTGGAAAATTATTAGTTTCGAAGATAATTAAATATCTCTTATTTTTAAATTAATTGTTCTTGATTAAATTGATTCAATATAATTAATAATGTTATAGAAAATAATGTTACATTTATGCATTAAAAAATATATGATCCTGTGACAAGAAACAAATTTAGCCTTCATATTTCAAACTTCCACGCATTTACCCGTGAAAAAAGTAATTAACCTGCATTATGTCGCGCCTTCCTCAAAACCATTCAATTTTTATTTGAAAAATTTTTTTCAATATTTCCAAAAGACATACTTATAAAAATAATGATATGTTCATTTGCTTTTTTCAAATTATTTTTCTATCAATATAAATGTCAATATTAATTTTTCCCAAAGCATCTGCACGTCAATTTAACTCCTCTCATATCCTCAATGTTAATTAGCCTTCAGCAGAGTAAATTGGTTATTTCCGCGAAAAAAGATGGATAAGCAACGATTCAACATGTCGCATTGTTTCGAACAAAAGGACGTTTCTTCGGCTCGTTTCGTTTTCAAACACAGGGAAGAGAAAAGAGGAGAAGAGAAAGGGAGGGAGAAGAGAGAGAGAGAGAGAGAGAGATCGAGTATTCCACGCGGACGACGATGGATGCACGCGTATCCTCCGTGTCACATCTCTTTAACAATGATTCGTGTACGCTCGTTATGCGCCGCGAGGTCACTTGCATTTTTTAAAAACCGTCTTGGTTACTAACCCTTTCCGGCAAAATGAAAACGCGACACTCAGACATCGACGAGGGGCCCTGATGCCCGAAGAAGCTTTTGTGCGCCCCGTATAAACATTTCTGAACATTTACGCCTTCCTTTCAACTATTTTTGCCCACGATTTATTACAGTGATAACTCCTTTTATAACGCGATTAATACGTATTGTAGAATTTTTCACATATATAATATAAGATAACAAGATATTTGAATTATTTTCACGCCAACTTTTATTTTTTTCTATTTTATTATTATTTTATCAAATAGTATTGTTAATATAGAAAAAAATATGCACTATCGTTTCAAAACAAGTATCCAAACATTTTTTATTCTATATAAAATGTAATTTGAATTTTGTTAAAAAAAGATTTTTGTACAATTATTATTTTTTTTCTTTTATAATTATATTAATCTCACGAATTAAGTACAAAATCGTATCGTAGCATAATAAAATTTATTAATTTTTATGCAAAAAATTATATATAAATGATAATTTAATAATATAATTTCAAAAAAATGATACTTAATATAAACAATTATCTCGTTGTTTGAGAAGTGTATTAGAAAAAAACATGGAAAGAAATAATCAGAGAAAGATTAACGTGCAAACAATAATATCTAAATTAAATATTTAATTATATTTTATTATATTGTTATATAAAAAATAATAAGGATTAATTTTAATTACGATATTAGATATTTAAGTAACATTTATTGATATTATATATTTCGTAAGTTTATTTTTGATATTTTTGAACGATAGTGTATTTTAATTGCTCACGAAAGTTTTCGAATTATTGCGTTCATTATTATTATAAATTTTACTTTATTTACTAAATTTATTCTAGATTCATGTTTACAAAGAGAGAGTTTGAATATTACAAAGAAAGATTCAAGTTTTATGCAATATAAATATTATATAATTACTAATATTTTCTTTTTCTTTCATTTTTGTATCGTTTTTCTTTTTTTTTTTATTGTCATTATATTTATCTTATTATTTTGCTTTAAGCATTTTTCACAAATTAAATATAAAGATAAAATAATTAAGAATAATAAATGAATTTGAAAATAAAAAATTAGGATGAATTAATTTGCCAATTAATTAATCAAATTGGATTTCTTATAATCCAATTAGTTTAATTTGATTTATTATAGTAGTAATTAATATAATTAATTATGTTAAGAAGAGAATACGATAAAATAATTTTACGAATTAAAAATACGAAAATTAATCTGTCTCTCATTAATCTACTGAATAAAAAATTAATAAAATTATGATTTTATTATTTCATAACGCTATTCTGAAATATTTGTTCTACTTGATATTATTCTTATTATTCTTATTAAATTTATGACATGATAATTTCTAAATAGAAATTTGGCATACTAAACAGCACATAAATGCTTTGAACATATAACTAGTTTTAAGAGGACTTATAATCGATTAGTTCATAAAATGCAATCTAAAGAGCACTTTGGAAGAATGGATTATTCATCGAAATAATGCAATCTCGTGAAAATATCGATTATCTAGAATTAAATAGGAAAGTTTATGTTAATGTCATTAAAATCTCAACTCTTGTATCAATGGAAAACAGTTTATAAAGTTGAATTATTTATGAAGATAAATATTTGAACGTTAATATTAATTTCTGATTTATTTTCAATTGAGTTTTTATTAATATTAATTAATAATTTTTATTAAAAGAGAGATAAAAAAAAACTTTGTAGGATTGATGAACTATTTATTAATTTAACAAAGATTAGAATCTGAAGATTTTTGAATAATTTCAAGATAGAATTAGATAAAACGCAATCTGATTAATTATTAAGATTATGATTAATTTGTTTGAAAATTGTACAAACAATTAATCATGATTACTGATTCTTCAACAAAATTTAAATTAATAACATTTAATGAAATAATTATTAATTAAAGAAGCAAAAACAAAAAATCATGATTAATTTTATAATTATTAATCTTCGTGTACTTTCATAATATTTAATAATAATTATTTAAAATTAATCAATAATATATTTAACATATATATAGAATAATAACAAATATAATTATTATAAATAAAACTTATAAATAAAAAAACGTATTTGAAATAATAATGTTTGTAATATTTAAACAAATATTTAAAATAAATTAACATATGAAAAATAAAATAAAAAATTCTATTGAATTAATTATTTGAATAATTATTTGATAATATCCAATTCTGATTTACCGGCATTGTTCATTTGCATCATTGTGCATTTTCATTATCGTTTCTCAAGAGACAAATTTTATTACTATGTTTAATTCTCGCATACGAGGATAAAAGATTTTCTTTAAAACGATGAAACAATTCGAAACTTGGAATTTAAAATTAATTGGAAAGAGAATAAAAGAGAGAATTAGATATATAAACTCACCCTGCTGGACATCGTTATTCTATTCCCACATTGGGTAGAGCAGCGATAGGAGCGACGACTGGCGGCGTGGTAGTGTTTCCGTTGCCCGCGGCAGTTGTCACTGTTGACAGCCTGTGAGGGCTTCCTGTCTGGCCTAGATGCGAGGTTGGAGGAGTTCTGTGAGGACTGAGCAGTCCTGCGACAGCATTCGAGCCATGCAATGGCGAGCTACCTGGCGTCGATGCGTGGGAGTGCGACGCGTGTGTGTGACATCCGGTACTTGGTGAACGACGCGTGTGATGCCTGGTACTGAAGAAAAGAAATTCGTTCAAAGTTTGTTTCATAGTTTTAGGAGAAGGGAAAAATTGTAATGCAGAATATGTCTGGAAAGTAACAAGTTTCATTTCAAGTTTTTATCATAATGCCGCCTGTTTGTAACATTTTATAGGTTATGTATTTATATTATCAATTATCAATTACATTTATCAATTTTTCATAAGCATATAATGTCAAAGTTGAGAAATTTAATCATAGATTAAATTCAAAAATTCAATTTTCATCAATTGGATAATTAAGTAATGATTATTCTTTGAAATTCTTTTCGTAGTAAAATTAATATTTTACATAAGAGTTAATTCGAACATTTTTAAACGATTTCGAATTTTTTTGATATTGCTTATGGCGAAAAATCGAAACAGTTGACGATAAAACAGAAAGATATATTCATGATTCAAGTATTAGTGCTTGATGCAATGAAATTTTTATTATTGATTATACTTATTTAAAAAATTTTCACATAATTATTCTTTTTATTAATGATTAACTACTGATTGACGATTAATTTCTTTAATCAATAATTTATGATTAATTTCGTAAATTAATTAAAGTTAGAAGTTAAAGAATATAAGTAAATTATAATGTACAATCGTGTTATAATATATAATTGATAATTGTCGCTTTTAAATAGAAACAATGATAAGAGAAACATACATATTTGAAAGTTATGATTTGAGCCAGATTATATATCATTTTGCGAGTTTGATATTCTATTGGTCTCTACGCGGTCAATTTGTTTGTCAATTGATCAATGATGTTTAAGATACGATTTTAATCGAATAAAACCGGATTGTCCGTATAAAAGTCTCACGTGATGGAGAATTAAATAGGGAAACAGAGGGAGAAAGGTGGAGAAAGTACACGTGATACGATGCGATTGTACATGCGATGCATTCAAATGGAGAGATCAATCACGGTCACGCAATCGTGAAGTTGAACAAAGCTTGGGATTAAATTTTGTTTTAGAAGATACAACATTTTTTTTATTTTTATGCGTTTTGATAGTTTTCAATAAATAGAAAATAATAATTTTAAAAATCTATGAGTGTAAAATTATGATATTTTATGAATTATTGCATTTTTTAATCGATAGTATTTATCGATAATTTGATTAAGTATTGATTTGTTTAATATTTATTTAATATTTTTATTGATCAGATTTATTAAATTTAGATTTTGAATTGAAATTAGATTTGTAAATTAGATTTGTCTGAGATTTATTTTAGTTGAATTCATTCCAATCAAATTTATTACTAAATCATCCTATTTCTTTTCTTTTTTTTTTTATTTACAGACTGGTTAATTTTTGCAATTATCCATGTATTTAGAGTATGAATATATATAAAATTCTCAAAACTTACTACTAAATTATTTTTCATTAAAAAACACTGCAAATATTTACTAATTTGACTAAACAGATTTACTAATAAGATTTTATATTAACAATATTAGCAATAAATTTGAGAATAAAATATTTGAGACTTATTTTCTTCTTTAAATACTTATTTTTCAACAGATACTATTCTGAGAATAATTTTAATAAATTCTATTTTCAACCTAATATTCATCAATGAAAAATAAGTCTTGATAGTTTTATCTTCAAATTAATTTGTATTTTAACGTTTAATAAAACAATAAAATTTGATTTTTTAAATTTTACCTCGACTGTCTTCTGGGTGTTAGAGGCGAACCGTGGCTAATTTCACCAAGATTCAGAGCCGTGCTACCGTTCACACGACAGGTGTCCACTCGTTTTCTTGGTGGATCCGCTTCTAATTGTCCTGCAGAACCCCTCATACCTCCTCTCATTACTTCCAATTCGTCCTCGCAAGCTGGTCTTCTCCGTTTTCTCTCCAATAGTAGAAAGTATATCACCTTTTCCGTGTTGTGACTGTATAAAAAAAACTTTTAGTTAGAACGATCTGATTTTTTTTTTTTTAGAAATATATTTTTTTTAGAATATACTGTCTTCTTTAGTTAATATTTCTTGTCTAGGATTCAATCTTGAATAATAGTATTCCAAATAAAAAATAAAAATATTTATATGAAATTGTATTTTCAATTGTATTAGATATAATTATTTTGAATAATTCATACAATGATTACTATTTAAAATAATTGAATTTACGAACGTGTAATAAATGAACAATAAATAAAATCTTTAAAAAAATTTAATAAATTGTGTTATATTAATGTAGATAATAATTTATTATTATATTTATTTATTAAAATTGTCTATTTCAATAATAATTTTCAATACTATTTATTTAAAACATATCTGCATTGTCAAGAATCTTAACAAAATTCATATAAATTTTCTACCTTCACTTGAAAAGTAAAAGCTAAATGTATGTCTTTAAATATTGCTTGACATATAAAAAATTTGAAAAATAAAAAAATATTTAGATAGAATATTTCAATCAAAAATAACAATATATACGATTCTATATATAAAATACATTTCAAGGTATAAATCAATTATTTATTAATTATTTATTATTCGAGAAAGTTGGGCATACTCTTAACTCCTATTTGCTGGGTCGCATCGTTCGATAAATGTTTAAATTCTTTTCTAAGAAAATAAAGTTAAACGAGAATCAAATGGAAATGAAACGAGAATTGGATATATAACTTGGTAACTCTTCCTCAGTTAGTTTGTACGCCATTGTATCGTCTTACTTCGGGCTGAGAAGTTCTTGGATGAGTTTGTCCCGTTCCTTGAAGCAACCCAGGCTCGCGATTGCTTGCAACACGTCCGGATCGATTGCCTCCACGGACGGAATAACGTGCGTCTGCACTACGTCCATCATCGACAGCTCTAATTCTAATTCCCCCTTGCCTGCCGCCGTCACCCACACGTGCCTGTTTATCTCCGCCAGCTGAGAAAATTTGAAATTATGATTTATCTTCTCTATTCTACCGATCATGGTTATGGAGTTGAATTGATAGGGGAGAGATGATGATAGTGAATGGGATATTTTTCTGTTTAGAATGAGATTGAAAAACATTTGACAACCATTTGTTAGTTAGTTTCCATTAGAAAGATTAATTATTTTATTATAGTGAATAATCATTCATAAAAAAAAAAATATCCTCTGATCTTGATGATTTTTTTAAACATGTTGTTAAAGTTATCATCTTGAGTTGTGTGTTGTGTGAAAAATTTTAATTTTCATTTAAAAATTTATTAAGAATATATAAACAGATTATATCAGATCAGTTTTAACCATTTACTAGAGATAATTTGAGTATTTTCTTATACAGAGTGTTTTCTTCAACATAATGTGTACAAAATTAATAAAACTTTTGAAAAGAATTGCACTAAACAATCAATATTAAAAATTCAGTATTAAAAATTATTAATTAATAATTATAACAACCACTTTTAAATGTATATTATATTATATATTATATTAAAAGAATTCATTTTATCTGCAACAAATTAAATGTACAATGGCAACTGATGATATGATAGCCAGCGCCATCATTATTATTATTATATTAATATCGCATAATCCATATTAAATATTTTTACAATCAAGAAAGCATTCGAGTTCAAATTTCACAGTCAATGAAAAGAATATCTTACCGTGAGTCTCTTGTCCGGGTCGACTTCGATCATCCCTTTGAGCAGATTTTGACACTCGGGCGGCACAAAGTGGGGTATGTAAAACACGCCTCGTTTCACTTTCTCTAATAATTTTCTTAAATTGTCGTCGTCGAAGGGCAACGCGCCTACCAAAAGCGCGTAAAGTATCACTCCACACGACCAGACGTCCGCCTTCCTCCCATCGTATTTCTCACCCTGGAAACGCGCAATTATTCCTTATTTTTCTCCCCCTTTTAATTAAATCTTCGACCAACTGGCTTCCCCCTTCACGTTTAAAAACCACGTTATTGTTCTTAAGTTATTAAAGTTGTTATTAAAGTTTTTTCTTGGTTAAACGTCAAGCGATTAAAATTGAAAAAAACTTTAAATCCCCTATGAACGACATTTTCTAATGCGAAAAATTAAAACAGCGATTCTCAATTGGTGGTGGTGTACAATTGCAGTTTGGTGTACAAACAGTTGCAGAAACATACATTAGTGGGTGTAATAAGTATCTTTTTCATTTTTCAAGTATCGTATTAATTAAGTATTTATTTGAAGATTCAGAAGATGAAGATGAAGAATAAAAATTCAAAACGTATGGGAAATACGACAAAAGTTGATTCATTTTGATAATGGATAAAGGAGGATTTTTTGGTGATGGATATTGATAAATACAAAACAATTGAAAAATGAGAAGAAATGGAATGAAATTCAAAATGATTGTGAAAACTTGTTTGAATATTTGTGCTGAACTATGCGAAAGAAAAACTGGACAAAATATTCATAGGAAATTCCTATGATGCACATATTGCATCATTGAAAAGATGTATTAAGATGTTGCTTATCTCCATTGAAGCAACAATAAGGAATATTTTTGTTTAAATGAAAAAGTCACTTTGTTGTTGAATATATTTCTTTATATTTCTAACAATAAATAAATCGCTGTTTATTGTTTGCCTTTTTCATTCGAAGGGATAAAACTTGAAGAAAAGTAAGGAACACGTGATAATTTGTAGCAACAAAAACAATGTTTATTCAGCGTTTATTGTTACTCAATGAAAAACGACATTGTTACAGATCAATATAAAAATTAATATATTATTTGATATATTTCTCTTAATAAGATACATTAACTCTTAATAGAATACTCTATACTCTAAAGTAAATATTAGAAATTGCCTTTGAATAGATCTGTATGCAAGCTTATGAAATTTTGAAGGTATATCTGTTGATAGATCATGCTTTATAAGTTATACGATTTTCTGGCGTTTCAAACTTAATCGAACACTTCTTTTCTCTTTTTATACTGTTAATAAATATACATCATATTATAGTTTGCAAAGAGTAAGCTATTAATTGAAATATATTACTTATTACATACAAATAATAAATGGCAATATTTGAAATATTTATTTTTAATATTAATTTATCTTTAAATTTGAGATAAATTTTATCCAGACTTAACCAAAAAATATTTATAGAACTTACTCGAATAACTTCAGGGCAAGCGTAATGAGGGGAACCACAGCTAGTTTCTAACATGGATCCGGCAGGTTGCAGCGACGCCATTCCAAAATCCGCTATCTTAATGTTATTCTTCTCGTCCAACAACAAATTTTCAGGCTTCAAGTCTCTGTGACTGGAAGTGAGAAACGATTATTAGAGAATTAGCCATCTAACGTTGGTAGTAAGTCTACATAGCTTATCGTAGCTTAGGGTGAGCTAATTTAAATGATCGATCGAAGCCAATATTACAGGGGTATCCCTCCAGCGAAATTAGGTCCGTTTCTCAATTTATTCGATTGTTGGGGTAGGTCACCCCAACTAGACCTTTCGGAACCCCTCGTGTTTCTACGCTGCTCGTTTTTCTCTTGCCACTGTTGTCGAGTTAAACGCGGTGCGAAATTGACCGGAAGGAATTTAGCATCATTGTTGAATTGTATACAGGGTGTTCAGATGATTAAGTACGTGGAGAATTTGAGGGACGATTTTGAGAGATTGAAGTGAATAAATAAGTTGGTATTAATAAATATCTGTTGAAACTTATTTTGTAACATTTATTTTTCATATCTATGATTAAAACTTTTTGGCTAAATGGTATTATATTTTATCGTGGGTCATCTACAAATTTCTGCCATTTGAAATAATTGACAATAAATGAGAAGAAAGTATAAAAATACTTTATATTATTTATGTACATTACGATGATGTATGTATGAAATTTTTATTTCTTCAATTTTTCAAGATTATTTGAAAATCACTTTGCATTTTTTAAATAATATTTCTCATATAAAGAAAGGAGCAAAAGAAGATGAATTTTGAAATTAATATTTAATAATTAAATTATTGAAAATAATTTAAATTTTTATATATGATGAAGGAGAATGCAATGAAAAAATAAAACAATAATTAAAAAATGTCTTAGATAAACATTATTATAAATTTACAAAAAAATAATATTATTTTTTAAAATATTTCCTATATTATTTTGTGATGTTTTCATTTATGTATAACTTTTTAGTATACATGTTGGAATTGAAGTTTTTAATTATATTAATACATCCAAAAAAAGTTTTAATTTTTCACTTCTATTTTGACAAAAAAATATTTATCAAATTATTTTCCTTGTATTTACTTCATACAAAACTGATATAACATTTTTATGCGTTTGATATTTAATATTACTATAATATTTTATATTTCAGAAAGTACAATTATTTTTAATGAATTTCGTATGTTGCGTTTAATTAAAAAGGTTTTTTGCTAAGGATTGCAAAAATTTAATTTTTTACTAGATAAGTAAAAAAGTATATGAAGTAATTTTATCTTTATCTTGTTTCATTCAATGCTTGTAAATTAAATTGCTTGTAATTTGAAAAATAAGCTTTAACAGATATCTTTGCATACAAACTTATATACTTATTTGTTATTAGAATTATTTTTTAAATTTTTTAAGCAACTTTTTCAGAACTGCCATAACGTAATGATAGTATTGGGTATGTATTGCTAGCGAGTTCGAACAAACAAATCGAAACAACTTCAAGAATCACCAATTAAGGTTTTGTTAATTGACTTTTGAAACATCTTGTATATCTTTCTCATTTTGAATCAATTGATTTGAAGTTTTCATTTAAATACATTTTTAGCAGCCAATTTATTCTGTCGTAGAAAATTTATAAATCAGTCCTTTTTTCTCGTAATATAGTTTATTTGTTTATTCGTTACGTTTATTTCATTTTTATATCTCGGGAATCATTTCTATTATTAGACTTTCTTGAATTCGATAAAATAAGCAATAATATATCATTTATGATATATAGAATAATATAATATAAATTTCTTTAATTGTTCAGGATTCTCCATTCTTCTTTGTATCTAAGTAAAATTAAATTCATATTAAAAAAATGGTTTTTTGTAATATCATATTATTGTAAGGTAGAAAAGAATAAACGTGGCTCGTGTAATTATTCTGTAACTTACAATGAAATGTGAAATTGACATAAAAAATGAATTATCGTAATAATAGTTTTTTTGACACTTATGATCTTGGTTTAAATCTTATTTTTAGATTTGAACATTAATGAAAAAAAAGAGAAAGTTTTATTTAATTTGAAAAATAATTAAAATAATATATTCATTTGATTAGTTTGAAATGATCACATATTAGTTTATTTGAATAGACAAATGATTTTTTCTAATATTATTATTTTGTTTTTAAATGAAATAATTTTCTATTTTATTTTTTTTAATAATTTTAAATAATTTTATAAGGATTATCTAAGTAATTTTATTGTTTTAGAATTATCACAATATATATTTTGATGAAGGAAAAATTTGAAGCAAGAATTTTAAAAGCAAATATGATTATATTGTAAAAATTCTTAGTTTGAAAGTTAAATAAAAAATTTACAATAATCAGAATAAAAGTTAATTTATTTAAAAAAATTTATTGATATATATGAAGTAAAATTATTTTATAAAGTTAAAATAGTAAAATATTTAAAATAATTCTCATTATTAAAAATTATTATTTATTTTATTTATTTCAAATGAAATCGAATTCATTTTCTATGCGCATTATCGACAAAAATAAAATGAGGTTAGAATTTCATATCTTTAGAATTATAAATAAATATGTAACGTATTACATTAGTTTTATATTCGTTTCGTATTATTAAAATAATAGATTAAAATAATCAGAAATAAAATACTCACCATATACTATGACTATGACAAAAATCTAACGCAGAGATAATTTGTCGAAAAAATCTCCTCGCTTCCTTTGGCGTTAGTCTACCCTTTTTCACTAAATAGTCGAAAAGTTCTCCGCCCGAAACATGTTCCAGAACAAGATATCTGAAACAAACAAGTGGAATTTCAACGTTACATTCATACTTTTCCAAGCGTACATTCACTTCTCTACAAGCAATGGGTGTCCTGCGAGTAAAATACTTTTTGTTTAGCGTGTAGATGTCGCTACTTTCTCTCTCTTATAGCTGAATTACGAAATACTCTTTTTTAAAACGGCTGAATTAAAGTTCAGTGACATCTCGAGCTTGATGAAACTCGAACTCGACCCAGAGTTTCTCTCGACTTCATTCAGAGAAAAATTCATGAAAAATTCCACTTTTTTCTTTTTCTCTCTTTCTTTCTACTTTTAAATACTCACAGATATTTCTTGTTCTCATATACATCCGAGAGGCCGAGTACATGAGGATGGTCGATCAGTTTCATAATGGCGATCTCTCGTTCCACTTTCATCAGCACGGATTCCGACAATTTTTCTCGATTAATGATCTTGATCGCCACCTTCTTGCCCAACACACAGTGGACCCCAAGCTTGACCAATCCTGAAACAAGCATGGTGACCAATTCGATTGATTATTTTTTTATCGATATAATTATTCTATTTATATGGTCTTACATTAATATTACAATCGTATTCTATATTTACATTTTAATTGCTTTAAAACAATAGATATTAACCGAAATGAATATAAAATATACAGGATGTTGATATAAGTCTGCGATGAAAACATACTTCTAAATATATTTGTAAGATTCTTAATTTCTAAAAATTTTATTTTTCTATTTTTTAAATATATAAATATATGCGATTCAATCTTCTTTTCTTTGTATATACACTTTCAAGATTATTTTTAAACAATAGACAATTGATCGGGCAATTAATCTAATTAATTCTAAAAAAGAGAAGTCATTGAAAATAATTGATGAGGGCACACTTTTCAGATTCTTTTTCTGCAATTGAAATTAATTGTTTTTATTATTTATTGTACATAATTAATATTGCATTGTTGTTATTTTTTATTAAATTTTATATGAATTTTCACTATGGATAGAAAATCTTTATCTTTTATTAAAAAAATCTTTTGTTATAACAATAATATAACTTTCGATTTTATATATTTATTTTCTGATAGACTTGGAAATTACAGAAATAAAATATTTGAAAAATAATCATTAAGATATTGTAATCGTAATATATTGTTATTTTAATAATTATTGGAATTAATCATTTCATCATATTTATAATAATATATCAATTTATTTGAACAGATAAATGATTTTTTTCTACGTTATTTCATCATTTGATAAAACGATTTTTTTATTTTATTTTCCTATTTTCTTTTTCCATCTATTTAATAATTTATTATATTAACATTAACAATTGCATTAGAAATATAGATACCCTTATATTGCATTGTGTCATGCATACAAACATTGACATATATTTGTCAATAGCTACAATGAGTCAATTACGCTTTCAATTGTTACAATGGTAGGTTTATCACGATATGAATATCTTTCTAACGAACTGTTTAAAGTGAGAACAATTCTGGTATTAATTATGATTACATTTTAAACAAATTATAAATTTATTATAACTTGGTAATTTATTATATAATTAAAATTAAAATTAATTTATTCAAAGAAAATAAGAAATAATCTTATTACAATCTGTATGCTAAATATAATATCTGAATATATGATCACAAATTATTTTCATTAATTTCTAGAACTGCTAATTCAAAGTAGAAATATCTACGATTCACATTATTGTATTATATAATTATTATATTATATTTACTATTGTAATGTAACTTTAGTTTTAATTATTGAAATTTTTATAATTGAAACATAATTCATATGTATTTTCGTATTTTATATTAATTTTAATTAATACATTTATTATTACATTCACTATATTTTTTCTCATCCATTTTTCACTTTTATCCTCGATGCAAATTATTTCAAATGATACGATTATTTAATCAATTCGATAAAATAAGCAATATTTCTTTAATGTGTTCTATTAATATTATTGATAATCCGTATTCATTTTTTCCATTTTACATTTTCTCATAAAAAAAATGAATTTTATTATATATAAATTTGTTATTGAAATATTGTTTTGTCAAGCTATATAAATTTCAGTTAAACCATATATCTGATGTTCTATTCAAATAAAATATTAAAAGAGAATGATTTATTTATATCTCACAAGAAACACAAGTATACCTAACCTATTTTTACAGTATTTATTTACACGATTCACAGTTATGTGATTTTTTATTAAATATACGTTTCTCATATCACTTATAATATGAAAATAATAAAATAAAAATTTAAAATTTATTATTTTACATTTGTAATTTTAGTTTAAATAAAAATAAAGTGTGCAATATTTTCTATTGAAACGCATTAGAAGAATCGTCGATAAAGATGTTCGTATTCGTTTACGATTATATTTCGAACGGATAGGTCGGTATTTTGATTACAAATGAAGTAATTGAATATGATATACGAGTGATATAATTTGTTTTTGAACCGAACAATCTCGCTAAAGAAAGATTCGAAAAGCTGCTGAATAGGATCATAGTGTAGTAAGTAGAACTCCTTATATAAAGAATAGCTCGTTGTATTTGGCCCCATCAGCGCGATCGTTCTTTGTTAATTTCATTTTTGGTAATTCCTTCTTTGCCGACAAGTTTTTTTTCGGGATAAAATTGAATAATACGATATTTTATAAAGATATATTGTTTATTATTTAATATTTAAAAAATTTTTTTAGAATTACAAATTTTTTCTAATAATAATATTTAAATTGTATATTTAAACTGTAATCTTTTTTCCACATGAATAAAATAATAAATAATATTTTTTGTAAAATAAGATATTAGATTATATTAAAAATTTATTTTTTATATTAAATTATATTATTATAATTATATTAAATTTATAATAAATTTATGACAAAGAGCATCATTTTTTAATTAACTTTCTATATATGATATATTTTTTTCAAACATGAAAACAATCTGAATGTTTTTTTTTGTATTTCACGTGGAATTTGAAAAGAAAACAAGAAAAAATTTTTTTATGAATTTTTTAGATCATTTTATATTTTTTAATAAAATATCATATTCTTTTTATGATATAATGAAAAATGAAAAAGAACAAATTAATAAGAACAATTTAATAAATGAAATAATTGATATACAAAGTAATCCAACGCATTATATTTGTTTTTTTTATTCTATTTTAAAAAAATATTCTAATTTAAAAATAATTTCAAATAAAATTTTATATAATTTAAAATGTTATTATTATAAAAATATATCAGTTGTATCTTTTTCCTAATTTTGTTATATAATTTTTTCTATAAATTGTTATAATTTCTTCGTATATATTTGTATTTTTAAAATATAATAACATATCATTGCTATAGTAAAATATTATTTTGATTCTAAAATTTCAAAAGATTCTCGTGACAAAATTTGATAAGGTAATTGAAATAAGTGAAGAAAAAAAGAAATGGAAATAAAAATTATTTTTTGAGTTAATTTATTAGTTTCTGAAATATTAATAAAAAAACTTTCAATATTATACATTGAATCTACCTGAATACAAATATGACTAATACTGTCTTCATTTAAAATTTGTTCTCATTAAATATTTAATAATCGATTTTATTTATAGGAGATATTTATAGCTTCCCTTCTTTTGAATTCTAACCTGACAATATCCACTATAAAATCGCTTTCATTCAAAGCGTGCTCAAAAATAATAGTAATTGTTATATATGACAAATCAAATGTATGTATTTAATTTTTATCAATTAGTCAACACTCGACAACAACTATAGTAAAGATTATTGCATGTTAGTAACATTTGAATAAGCATAATATTCAACATCTGTATATGCACTTTTCAAATAATCTTTTATCAATATCTCAGAAACTAATAACTAATACTCAAAGTTAAAATTTTAAATCTAAACCTACTTTTTCTCTCCTACTATTCTTCCAAATTTTAATCAACGATCAAATCTTTCAATATTTCAATATCACTTCTTTATTTTCGCTTAAAAAATAAAAAAAGTTACACTTATTTTCACTTAACAATGCCATTATCCTGATCTTTGTACTACTTGTTATAATAGTAAAAGCAATTTCTAAGATTGTTTCGAACGACAAATAACATTGGAAATGGATATACGATCCTTTTTTCGAGGTTAGGTGTCGAAGGCGGTGTCGGAAATATGTATGTGCACATACTACTACCTTGATAAGTAAACATAGAGGTTTTACTTGAGTGGTTTCGAGTTGCTTCCACTTGGTAAATCACGGAAAGTTTCCAAGCAAAGACTTCGTGTCAAGCCTTACTAACGTAAGTTAGTATACTTCGTCATTCGATTCTTAATCTCACTAATTCTATAGAGTGGAATGAAAAAATAAAAACTATATTAAAATTATAATTTTTTCTAATAATAAAAACAAATTATTTCTAAATTTATAGGTTTATTTACAGAAAGATAAATTAATTTTTGAAAAATTTTTGAAATGCTGCAAGGATTTTGAAATTTTAATTTTTATTTTTATACTTAATATTTTTTTCCTTATATAATTTTATATTACAAATTTATTGGTATTTCAAAATGCAATAAAACGAAAATAGCGAGCAAATTCATAAACTGTTTTTTGTGCAAATACATATTTTCATATATGTTTCGTATATTTTATATTTAGAGATGTAAATGAATATATTATACTCATATTTTTTTCTCATATTGATTTTATTTATGTGATAAACATTGCAAATAGAGATTCGTATTCCGATTATGCAATATTGGAAAATTGAAAAAATTTTGAATTGTTTGTAGCTTTATAATATTGAAGCAATATATGCATAAATGTAACAATAATTTAAATAATATCAATTTATCAGGAAACTATATGAAAATGCTTTTCTTGAAAACTTGTAAAAACGTGGCCATTAGACGATCAATGATTCTTTCGGAAAAGAAAAAAAGCTCAAATTGAGTTAAAAAATAGTTAAAATCGTAATAAAGAGGAAATTTTATCGAATATCATCATAAATTTTAATTGAAAGTATCCATTTCACCCTTTTCGTAAATCGAACGACAAATTTAAATTGGATCGCGCGCATTCTCCTGTGGGAAACTAGGATATTTTAACGATTCGATATGTTTGGGTTAGATTCTGAAATATTTCCAATATATAGAATTGGGTCGTGTATTTCACGTTTCAACATCGTGTAACATCGTATCGAGCCGCTGTCATCGTGTAATCGGACACGATTCTTGACACTGCACAATATTTGGAAAAAATTAAAAATATGAGAAAAAATTTAAAAACGCATTTTTTTGTTAAATAAATAAGTATATGTTAACTGTAACGAGTTATTAAGTTCCGAGTGAAAATTGTTCAATTTTTTCGAACCGAAAATAATTGTAAAATTATTCGAAAAATGTTTTGAAATATTCTAAAAAAATTTATAATATTCATAATTTCAAATATCAATAATT